TATTAAATCAATGCTACGCAATGCAGAGGAAAGGAACAATCAATAGGGGCCAAAGAAATTACTGTAAGGAAAAATGCAGGAGCTATAGGACCACTGAAAAACCCTACATCTAATTTTCATCAACATGGCTCATAATATCTCTCTGCGATTTGGTGTCCTTGCCAACCATCCTTGTTTGCATCTTATCCACACTCTGCTTTGTGCAATACATTCCCAGAGACCCAGTCTCAGTGGTTGGATTTGCTTCCTGCTAAAGGGCTGTCTTGTGAGTGGCCATCTAAACCAGGGCAAGCATTTTGCAAGACCGCCAAGAACGCTCACTCAGAACTGGAAAAGTGCCCCAGTGCTGACCCATTAACCATGGTTTATAGCTGTGTTGCAACAAAACAAATCCTACTATGACTACACACATTAGCTACCTATCTTAGCCTTAAGTAATGGTGAATCTTTTTTAAAAAAATGATTCAGTTATGTACATTATACATTTTCACACAAATATACAAAGAATAAAAATGAAATGCACTCAGAAAAACCAACAGCCACAATGTGACAAATAAAAGCAGAAAAAAGAGAAAAGCCTCTAATTACAAATAGTTCACCTGATTTTATAAATCTTTGAAAGAGGAAACTGAATTTTCAATATTCCCCAAGACTGTCCAAGAATTTTTTCCAAAGGGAAAGATAATATGACCTACATTTTCGGACTGACAGAATAGATAATTCTCTCAAAAAGCGGTTGGTCACACATTTCTAAAATCCAATCCTTCATATCTGTAGTATTTTCCCATCTCCTAAGATGCTGTTCCTACAGCATGAAATCCCATCTTTCTTCAGAACAGTTCCAAGTAGTAGGTATAGGATTTAATACAATATGTGCATGTTTAAAAACCAAAGTTTTCCCACAACACATTGTATAACATTACTCCTAGTGTTATAAAGAAGAACATGATAATAACATAAGAATTAACAAAACAATCTTTGGGTGGTTAATTTCAACTTTAAATCACAGGACGTAAACAGCAATGGTAATTCTAACCAACTGTCCTCTGCACCATAGGACTTGATCAGTGATTTCTCCAACTGACAAGTTTTGAAGCAGCTGTGGAATGTGGAGAGGTTCTTGGACAGCCCCAGCTGGTTGGGTTGGGTCATGCTGAATGGGTTCCCGTGTTGCATTAAGTCATAATGTGCTTTGTTAATGTTTGTTTTGTTGGTTTAGTAATAATGAACAGCTGTTGCCCCTGAAAGAATTGTCTGCTTCTTGAATATAATTGCAAGTTTTAATTCAGAGGAAAAACTATTATCTTTTTCTCCTCCAGGGGATAAAAGAATTGGCAAAACTGGTGGTGTTGCAGTTAGGTAATTTTCGAGTGCCGTGTGTAAATGGGGCAAATTTTGCACTTTGGAAATGCCCAGAGCATCGAGCTGCAACTGGAAGGACTAGCAAGCAGAATCACTGGCTGGGTTCACCTGAATTTCTTTAGGGTTGGCTAATGTTGTTGTATGACCCAAATTATGTGCTTTGTAGATTAGCCTAATGTGTTAAGGCCATCATAGCAGGGCTGCAAAAATCTGATATGATGAAGTATCACTGTCAACAAAGAGAAAAACAATCAGTTTCTATTTGCAACCCTGATGGCATAGCCTGGTTTATTTGGGCTGGAAAACTTTATATTGAGGATGGGTTCACAAATCTCTGTGAGACATCCTGTGCATCTTTATGTATTATTTTATTCAAGGGTGTTGTGTGAACTCAACCAATGTGGGTTTATTCAGTACGTTTTGGCTCTAAAGCCATGACTTGAGTAGGGTGTGCAAAGACAACCTGAGTCACAACTTGTTTCTGATTCCACAAAGGACAGGCCTCTTATGTCTTTAGCCCCCATTTGCTGGGGATCTTAAAGTTCTTATTTCCGGGCAATACTTCCTAGAGTTGCTGCTGAGACACTCATGTCCTTAATGGAGTCCATGTTCTCAACCACTTGAAGCTGTCTAATTGCTGATCCAGAAGGTGGTTACTTGCATATCTTCTGAAGTTTCAAGAAGCTCCTACGTAGCAATTCTTGTTGATGTTTAAATAATGTTATTTTTGTTCAGGTACCACTACTCTTGAGAGTATCCAGGCAGCTCTGAAAGAAGTGGAAAAGTGTGTTGGAGAAGGTAAGCTGACCCTCCTTATCAACAATGCTGGTATTTGGACATTCACTGATATGAAAAGAGAAAATGCCAAGGATATGATGAGAGTTTATTTTGTCAATACCATTGGCCCACTGCAAATAAGTCAGGTTTGTTTATTTTTTAAAAACCTTTCAAAACAAAGATTGCCTTATTAAAGAATAAAAGTTGAACAGTTGAGTTCACTGTAACTAAAGACAGCAGTTTAACACTGCTGAAAATAAATAGATAGAAATAGTACGTTGACACAGCAGTGTTCAGTGCCACCAATTTTGTTAAATTTTGGGCGACCTCTGAAATTGGAAAAGAGCCAGTTTGGTGTAGTGATTAAGGCAGCAAGCGCTTCTGAAATCTTGCCAAGAAAACTGCAGGGAATTGGTGTCATTTGAAATAAGAAGTTTCTCTTGGGTAAAACATTGATTCTAACTAGGAAAGTCTGAAGCTTTTCCACTTTTCAAGAACTTGTTTTAGTTCTTTCTGTAATATGTTGTAATTGTTTTGAAAGATGTCTTTATTGCAACCTGTCAAGTAATTTCATAAATACTTCACTGGATCTTTCATTATCCCACAGCCAGTCTCTTATTCACAAAATGTTCTTCCTTGGATGTTAAATACCTTGTTATTATCTTTGGTTATATATTCTGGTTTTTACTGTATATCCAGAAAGCAAAAATTTTTGATTACTTTCATCAACTGTCGTATGAAGCTTTGTGGCTTCATAATTGTTAATGTTACATCATCTGCATAACATTTCATCTTCTATTCCTGTTCTTGAATTTCGATCCTGATTGTTTATGTTTTTGCGTCTTGTTCACTAAGACTTCGAGACCAATGAAAATGGTAAAAGCAAGAACAGGCATCCTTGCCTTGGGCCTTTTGCTAATTGAAAACCTTGTGCAGTTCCATTTATTGTAATCTTTGCTGTTTGCCATTGATATATGTTGTCCACCCATGTTTTGAATTCTTCTTCAGGATTCATTTTGTTTTAGACCTCTGGTAAAATAGTCCACTCCAAACTTCAAAGGCTTTTTCCATGTCTGGAAATACCACTATTGCCTTCTCTTTCTTAAAATTGATGAATTCTAGTGCATTTGAAATGCATTTTCTGTTACCTTTCATCTTCCTTTTTGGAATGTAACCTCTCTGATCTGTGTGTTGAATTTCAGGAATATACCTCCTCATATGTTCAGCTAGTCTAGTAGTGAATATCTTGTAACTAACATTCAGTAAAAATTAGTCTATATGACTGAGGTTACTTTGGGTTATTCTCTTATTTCTCTATTAACATTATACTGTATATTCCTCTTCTCGTGTCTTTGGTAATGTTTTTGTTGTCTGAATTTCATTCATAGTCTTCATTAGTGGTTCTGCAGTTTCTCTTCTACCTTTTTGTAATATAGAGCCAGCAGCCCATCTGGGTCTGGCGTTTGATCAGTTTTAATGTTCTTTATTGCTTCTTTAATCTCTTGAGTTGTTATACATTTGCTTAATATTTGTCTATATCCTTCAGTAAATTCTTTAGCTTCTGAGTTTTTGATATATGTTTTCAAATTTTCTTTATCAGCTTTGTGTCTAGAATATAATTCCTTAAAAAAAAACAGCAAGTTCTTCTATTATTTCCAATCTTGTATAAGTCTGTTCTCTTTCTCTATCGCTGTTATTGTCCTTTTTTCCTCTTTTCTAATTGTTATGTAAGACATTTCCCTGGTTTGTACTGTTTTGTTCTTGAACATCTGTTGCCACATGTTCTTCATTCCCTCCCCTTTTCTTCCTTGCTGTTAATGTGATTCGTTTTCTTTCCTTCTTTCTTTGTAAATAATGAAAATATCTTCCATACAGTAGTATCTGTTGTAACCAGGAAATGTTACTGTCTGTTCTTTGCAGGCTCTATTAAATGATGAATCAATCGATGGGCCGGTGGATGGCACTTCTCCTAATACCTGCTCTTGTCCACATACTTCTTTACAATCAACTTACCATTGCTGTCTTCCTATAAACAATCCATTTTACCCTTCTCTCCCCTTCATTTCTCTGTCACCCTATGAGACTGCATACATTTATACAAATCTATGTATAGACTGTGTTTGTACAGATATATGTGTGTGTGTTCTTAAAATGGATGGCCATACAAATCTTTTAAATAAATAAATAATAAAATTGTGTGTGTAAATACATTCAGTTGATTAACACTCACTTTTTGCAATGAGGTTTTACCGTCTTGAAATGTTAAAGTTAAACTGTATCAGTCTGATTCTTTGACACCTTCTTGGTTTCTTTGGAAACCTTTCTTGGATTCTTTGACACCTTCAGTTGATTCTTTGACACCTTCTGGTGAATCTTCTAGTGTTTTGCACTGGAAGTGTAATACCGTAACTTTGGTTCAAGGTCTGAGTTATTTAGAGACTTCAGTATCATAGTTCACTGTGAGTCACAAGCATTTACAAAAGCTATTAGTTAAAACTTACAAATTGCTTCAATGAACAAATGGCATTAATTATCCAAATCTCCATTACTCATGTTCAAGTCTGGCTTCTTCCTTCCGGCTACATTGGCACAGCCCAGAAACTCTTAAGAAGTAATCAAAATAATTATAATTATAATCCAAAGCAGGAAGTGGTTTTCATTATAAAATCCAAAAAAATAATAATCCAGTGGTTAGTTCTTCTGGAGATTCCTTAAATTCCTCTGCCAGAAAGGAAGGGGTGGGGGTGGGGTGGGCAGAATGGCTACATTGGGAGTTGGGCAGTCTTCCTTTAAAGGACCCTCACATACACACATCTGTGTGGGTGCTAGACAACAAAAAGCAATCTGGGGGAGAGAAGAACACTTTCTTAGTTTAACTCTTGCTGCCTTCAAGTTACTAAAAATATAACAAACTCCAAAGTGGGACAGGAAAACTCCTGTCAACAGACTGACCACAGTTAGGACTCATTCATTATTTTCAAGTTATCACTGTTTTCTCAACATATTATCCAGGTTTTTGGATTGTCATTGGTGGGACTAAAGATGGAAGACCACTATCTTGGAACACTCCCATTCTGCTCCCAACACCATTCCCCAATCCCTCAAAAGCATGAACAGATCCACCAAAGTCTCTCCCCGATATTTTTTTTCCCTATTGGATTCTTTAGGGATAAAAACCATAAATCACTTGATTTATAATAGCTTTAAAAAAAAGTCTTTGAGAGATTATATTTTGAACATAAAGTGCCTGTATCTTATGCTTAGCAATACATAGAATTGAAGCATGTATTGATGAAACTGGAATCTCATAAGAATCCTTGAGAGATGCAGTGCTTGAGTGAAAACAACAGCACAGTTTTACTTGGAATCTAAAGACAGGATGAAGGTCAGAATTAGTTATATATATGAATTGTGCAATGCCAAATTGGAATATCTAACCTAGGAAAATCAACCGATTCAGCTCCTAAGAAATCTAAAACATTCTTGTTAGGATTCAAGAATGAAGTCAATTCCTCAGTAAATATTGCTTTGTATTTGATAGATTGAAATCCATCAAAGAAGATTTAAGAAAAGCTTGGATATCATATTTTGTTGTTTAATGTTGCATAAGGACTTTGAGAGTTCTTTAATCATATAATTTGGTGTTCACAGCCATAGCTCTTTTCTGGATTCTGGATTCTGGATAAGTTATAGCATATATTAAATACAGTGTATTTTTCATTTATGTGTAGATTATTTTTGTCTAATGTGTGTAGGGATATTTATATTATATACCACTTCTGTATTTTGGAGCGGGGTATTGGTTTATTTTGTTGCATTTTACCATGAGGGGGGGAGATTATTTCTTATTACTATTTTGCTGGCAGGCATTTTGGGCAATTATGGGCTAATTGGACAATTTCCTCTAATATTCTTTTGAACTGGGTCCAACTTAAATCCCTTTCTAGGTGGTCTTCTTCCCATTACAAAAGAGGTGAGTAGGTGACTGACCAAAAATTTCAAGACCTTCCTTTTGCTGCTGGTTCAGAAAATCCCGAAGGGCTCAGTAACAGGACTTCTACTCAGCTGCTGAGGATAAGACCCATTCCTTTCTCTGCTTCACATTCAAGTTCCTACTAATTTGGTATCAGTGAGGACTGGATGAATCAGAATGACCAGTGGGGGATGAGTTTCCCTCCATTTACTCAGGATCAAGCCTTGGAAGGGATATCAGAGGCACATTCCAGGGGTACCAGCCTCTGGGGTTTCTCTCTTCCCCCCTCAATGCTTCAAGCAAAGATAGGTTCTGTAATGGTATGTGGGACTAACCTTGGGAGACAGAAGGAAGAGCCGCAGACTAGACACCTGTCATGCAAAAGGTATCTCAGCCCCCAGAAGGAAAAGGGGTATGGGGAACATTTCAGAAGGAACCCTCCCTAGTTTTCTGGAAAGTAAAAATAAAGGAGGGAGTAAATGCTTTCAGACTTGCAAGATTCTGTTACTGTAACCTTACAATAAAGGTAGTGTTAGTACTCATGGTTTGCACTTCTTGTCTGGACCACCTCAAAGGGCTGACAGGTTCTAAGGTAATTCAACTCCTTGGTGGCACTTTCCAGTGGAAGAGGGAAAGGCCATGAAAAAAGTGGATCTGCCACAACTTCTGGGTACAAACTGGCTGTGACATGAAGTATTACATTAAAAGCAATGTGTGCTTATCGACCCTTTTTTCAGTGATGAATTTGGGAGTAGAAGAGTCCTATAAAGTATATTGTAGCTGTTGATGCATCTAAATCATACAAATATTTTGTAGGGCAGTATCTTTTGTTCCTTAAAGTCCAGAATGTTCCTTCAATTAAAGCAAGCAATATTGCCTTCTGTAATAACTAAATTAAATTGATTGTTATCAGCCAGCCAGAGTAATTGGGAGTCATGCAGCAAACAAATTTAATAACAAAGAAACAAAGTTTCTCAGAAGATCTAAATGTAGGCGGGGTATGTTCCTTAAAATGTTACTTCCCACAACGAGAAGAGACATTTGAAAGAAACATTTGAGCAGGTTGGAAGCAGAAGCTGCAACTCCCGAAGAAATGGCAAATTCAGCTGATTTCTCTGTTTTCAGTGTCCTGGTGACAGGATCCGATCGGGGGATTGGTCTCGGTCTGGTGAAGAGATTTCTGACACTGCCATGTCCACCCAAGTGGGTCTTTGCTACAACCCTCGATCTGAAGGGAAAAGAAACCACAGTAAGAATCAGTTAGCCTAGGATGGGTTGTGGGTTGACATCCAGCTCAAACCACTATCTGCTTCTTGTACATAATTGTGAACTTTAACTCAAAACAGAAAAACTATGATCTTCTTTTTCTCCAGGAGGTAAAAGAGTTGGCTTGCAAACATCAAAATCTGGTGGTGTTGCAGTTAGGTAAGTTTCAAAGCCATGTGAAAATGGGGCAAATTTTGTAGTACCGGAATGCCCCCAGCATCCAGTTCACTGGTTGGGTTCACTTGAAGTGGCTGGTTCAACACAAATCAGCCTCCCAGATAGAAAAGTATTTAACTGAGATGCCTCCACATGTTAGAAGAGCTTTCTCTAAAGCACTGTTTGAACAATTAGACTCCATGGTAAGATATGGGAGATTCCAGGGAGTTCCATTTGAAGAAAGACTGTGTATCTGGGGTACACCAGCTGTTGAAGACATCACAGATATCCTGTTTGATTGCAAACTATGTCCTGCAGAAAGGACCATTCACTTAGATCCTTATTTAAAAACTAGAAAATATTAGGACACCTTTACTTCTTACTTCTTGCAGGGGACAAATCTACATATCACTAGCAAGACAGCAATTTTTATATCAAAGCCCATTTCTAAGAGGATAGGCTACTGAGAACAGATTGGGGTTGACTGCAGGGTGACATTTTATTATGAATATGTTCTACTATTTTCTCTGTATTGGTTTTATGGTTGTTTGTTATGGTCAGATGACTAATCAATAACATTTTGTTGTTGTTGTTCTTGGTTGGGTTCACTGTGGTTTC